CACCACCACACTCTGTCTATGGCTCTAATAGCTCTGACCCCCGGGCAACTTTATTTATTAACATACAATCAAAATCACATTTCAGTACAATTAGAATACCACCACACTCAGTCATCTATTTGATTATCGAGGTAAAGAACCAACATTATCATGGCATGCTGTGTTCCTGGGACACTTGTTAGATTAGGTATGCTAAGTGACCTTTCAACTTACAATGCTTTGCCCTTTCAAAGCTACCTCACTGTAAATCAAGGAACGTTTACATGGTCAACGAGGCTGCTCTGCAGCAGGCAGCAGACACTGCAGATTCATAACTGGTCTAAGATAGGAAAAGAAGTGACTCTTAGATGCTGTTGTGGTTTGAACATAAAATCTCCTCCAAGGCTCCTGTATGAACACCTGGTCCCTAGCTGATGACAGATTCATAGGTTATGAAACGGGAGGCAGGCTTTGAAGTTGGAGAGCCTGGCCCCACCCCCTTCCTGCTCACTCTCCACTGCCAGGCTGGCCTCACACTCCTGCTGCTATCCTACCACTGTGGACTCCATGTTCCAGCCTGACTGCCTGTGATGAACAGTGTAAACCAAATAAATATTTTCCTCCTCAGAAACCCTAAGACAAGGGCATATCTATCACCCCCTCTAAGGGTCAAAGAACATGGTGGAAGGGGGGCAGAGAGAACGTAAGGACCAGAGGATGGGGTGGAATGTTGTGGGACACAGTACCACGCATGACATTGCCACTGAACTTGAAGCAACTGCAGCTCCCTGCACTAAACTGGGCCTGTTAACATGTACGGGAAAGGGCTCATGAAGCCCTGCTCCTCCCTGAGAACTTAAGGCATTCAATGGTTGCTGGAGAAGGAAGAGACATCTTCTTTAGCTGTGTGTTGGAACCCACTAGGTTTCCTAGTGGCTGTACCCAACAGGACTGCATAAGAGGTTGACTGGGCCACGAGCCTGGGTACCAGGTGTTTCTAAGGGTCTAAGCCGCAAGAGGGAGGTCTTTTGCTCCACCCCTTGGCATTGTTATAAAAAGACCTTGGAACAAAATTCTGGGCTGGTGGATAAGGATCCAGGCCCACTTGAGTCTATCTTGTGTTTTCTCTCTTTCTCTTTATTCTCTATTTCTAACTAAGTCTCTTATCCCTCAATCCTCAAGAGTTCCTGGGGTAAATAAGTGTGGGGGCTGGTCTTCCACAGCCGTGAACCAATGGTAGGGTGCCTATGCTCACAAGTAACTTGACTGAAACTCTTGGATAACCAAAATCAGACATATAGAAGGGAGCTGCTTCAGAAGAGGAAGGGAATGGGAGGGGGCCACAAAAGGATGATGGGTGAATATAACCAAAATACAGTCTAAATATGTATAACTAATGTATGTTAGTAAAAGCAATTAAGGAAAATTCTTAGGATTAAAAACACACCAGCAAAAAGTACAACAGTGAATATATGAGTTTTGCAAGACTGCAGGATCAGCATGTATAAAACAAGACTGGCGAGACAGCTCATGGAGGAAGATGCTGCCAGGCCTGACCACCTGAGTGGGGTCTCCAGAACCCACCCAGTGGAACTATGTAACCAGCAGCTTTTCTGTGATCCGCCCTGCCCTGCAGCAGCTTATAAAATAATCATTCAGAGGCTTAATATTAATTACTGTTTGGTCTCTGGCTCAAGCTTATTGCTAGCTAGTTCTAACATCTTAAATCAGTCCATTTCTATTAATCTATGTATCACCACATGTATCGTAGCTTTACCTGAGTTCTATTATATCCTGCTCCTCTGGTGGCTCCCAGCAGCTCCAGACTCTGCCTTTCTTCTCCCTGTGTCTTTGCTTGGATTTCATGCCTGACTATAACCTGTCTTGCCATAAGCAAAGGCAGCTCCTTTATTAACCAATGGTAGCAACACATATACACAGCACACAGAAAAAACATCCCACAGCAGAACCAATTTCCACAAGGTGTTCTCTGACCTTACACATGTGTGCGCTCTCTCTCTCTCTCTCTCTCTCTCTCTCTCTCTCTCTCTCTCTCTCTCTC